CTGTTCTGGATGACCTGCACGAAGCTTGAGCTGCCACCCCCAGCAGCGGGCGTCGCCTCCGAACGCTCTGCTCCTCGTTCTCTCGAACCCCGCTGCTGGTCGTATGCAGGGAAGCGGGCTCGCTCCTGTGGCGACCAAGCTCTGTAAGAGCCCCGCCAATAGCGCCCACCGCCACTGCCTTGCTGGTTCCGACCCTGACCGCCTTGCCATGACTTGCCTCCCATGTGCCCGTGGTGTGACGCAAGCAGGGCGCAGTCTTTGCGTGAGGGCTGGCGGCCCAAGAGTTTGGCCTGCCTCACGCGTTGAGCGGCTCGGCTCCGACGAAGTCGCAGGCGACGGTGCCAGCTAGGGCTCCAAGGATACTTGCCTATCCTGATGGCTGTCGCGCTCCTCGCGCGTGGGGCTACGATCTTCCTACAGCACGCCAGCTGTTAGGCAATTCGAGCCCTGAGGAATAGCACTGGCAATTATTCAGGCCTTTTTCTTGCAGAAAATCTAGGACCCTACTGAAGCATACGGGGCCTTGATCGCGTTAGTCCTTGAACTTGAAACAAAACGACTAACACGGTGTGGCATATCAGAGTATGGCTACTTGTGCAGACCTGGCTTTTGTGTTGCGGGGCATGGGGAGGTCACGCAGCCATAGCCGAATGAGTCGGTGTAAATGCTGCCGAGATGCAGGCTTTCGAATGCAGGGCTTCTCATGCATCAGTGTAGTCCTCTGAATTATGGTCCCGTCTTTGGTCCCCAATATACTACGGCACCTGTTATAAAAAGGACCGTAAAGGGGATCCTAATTTCGAAAACTACCTATTCGGATTTCTGGGCCTCAGCTTTGACTCAGAAGCTTCGGTTCTTTGAGCCATGGATTTGCCGAGGAGGCTTGTCGAAAGTGACTTGACGGCCCGAGAGAAAACAACCCTTGTGGAAAGCCTAAGTTGATCTTAAGTTCACATCTCCACAAAATCGTAATGTCCAGCTGAAAAGTACACCTTTTTTGCCAAGCAATTTGCATCCGGGCCTAGCGCCCTAAACCCGAAAACCCTCCTCCTCGGAAGCTTTTTGTTGAGTCTTTCTTTACATGCTTTCAGACGGAAGGATTCCCACAGCCCAAAAGCTAAAGCCGTCTTCCCCTAACCCAAAACCCCAAAGCCCCTCTGGCCTCAATAATCAGAATACGGTTTTGGTGTATCTTATGCTAAAACTATAACAAACTGTAACAAGGAACCCCCAAAAGAGTATTATTTAGGCCCCTATATTAAACCACTACTCCCCTAAAAACTAAAGCCCTAAGCCCCTTTTGGTCTGACTTAGCGCTTTGCATAGACGTTGAGCGAGTTCGTCATCTGAAGCGACTGCATCTCGGATCGCGGCAGGCTTTAGGGCTTATAGGGCTTATAGTGTTTATAGGGTTTATAAGGTTTAGGGTTTAGGATTTGTAGGGTTTTAGGGCTTATAGGGTTCGTAGGGTTTATAGGGCTTATAGGGGTTATAGGGTTTAGGGCTTATAGGGCTAATAGGAACCCTATAGGGTTTAGGGTTTATAGGGTTTATAGGGCCGAGGTCCCCCGGATTTGTCTGTTGTCGTCTCGATCCTGTCCGCAGGCCAGGCTAGGTCGGGGTCGCAGCTCTGACTTCAAGGAGTTTGTGTTTCCCTCTCGCATTGTTGGGAAACTTCAGAGCTTTCAGAGCTTTAGGGATGGGGCTTTGGGCTTTGGGACTCTCGAAACTCGGGACCGAATGCTTGATGGTGATTCGTTGCAAAGCCGACGCTTAAGAACTTCATGCAGGGGCCTTAATAATTCGAATAGGGTTTTGGGGCCCATGATACTATAAATATAGAAAAGAAACCCTATTCTAATTATTAGTGCCGCTACATGATACCATTGCCATGGTTTCCATATCCACCGAGTGGTGTCTTGTCAGCCCGCTTACGGCTGTCACGGACAAGGTCTTTGCACTGTTCGTGCTGCTGATGGTGGTGTGGACGATGCGAAAGCTTGAACACAGCCTTGGCTGTTGCCACTAACCTTACATGCTAAACTTCCTAAGCCCTGAACCCAGAATGTGCCCATGCTTTCCCCTAAACCCTAAACCCTAAACCCCTAAACCATAAACCCCTAAACCCTAAACCCCTAAACCCTAAACCATAAACCCTAAACGCTTCACTGTTGCCTGACAAGTGGGGGTTCCAAAGAAGTGGAGAGGCGGTGCTACCCGCTGCACAGGGTCCGAAGTGGGAGGCCTAAGTGTACATTGGGGTTTCCGAAAATAGGGGACCTTAATATAGTACCCTAAATAAAAGGATCCTTATTATGAGGACCCCAAAATAAGGTACCCCTAATTTTCGGAAACCCCCATGTAGACTCAATGTAGACTAAGCCTTCGGGAGTACTGTGCTGCCGTACCTTTGCGCGATTGAGTTTGCACAAAGACTAGCTCAACTCTTTGAGGGCTTATGGATGAACGACTTGGGCATTGGCAGGAGCTGCTGGACCTAGTAGACCCGCGACTGATGACATGTCAGGTTTCAGAGATCACGGACTTAACCCTAAACACTAAACCCTAAACCTCGAATCCTATAACCCTAAATAGTATCTAACAGCCCAGCCCGGACCATCCCAAGCAAGCACTGAAAGCTCCGCTGCCTGAGGCCCGGAACTGGGAACTTCCCCTATCGACGCTTGCGATTCCGCAGCAGGGGTTCCCGCGCAATCCCAAGTCCGCATTCATCAGCTCCAAAGCTCAACACGTTCCCTATCAAGGCTCCTAAAATGAGGAAAGGACACCGGTAGAAGCTTCAAAAGCCAGAGACCCCAGAAACCATCAACTTCAGAAAACCTTAGGCTGGGCCCCAAGCCCCAATAATCAGCGACTGCTCGGGGAGCAAGGGCGACGAGGAGGATTGTTGGGGCACCTCGTCATTCAGGGAAGAGCCAACATGCCAACATGCTAACTTTCAGGAGGGCTGCAACCTTGGGCACCCACTCGCCTGGGTCTGTGATCTTTAGCTCTGGTCATTGTCTAAGTATGCTACGGTACCCTGCAATACCCCACTCTGCTTATAAAGGCCCCCGCACTCGTGCGGCTACAGCTACCTGTAAGCCCAAACTCCACAAACTAGTAGGTTATGACCCCCGTATTGCATGGCATAACCCTTAACACAAAAGGGTTGCGGACCGACAGGTAAGCCCCAAGATCCTTCGACGTTGAACCATCTGCCCTTGGAGGGCCAAGCCTTCTCACGACTCAAAAGGATCCCAAGCATGGATAGATTGAAAAGCTAATCTACACAGCATGGTGCTGAAGGATACCTGTTTTTGTGGGAAACCTAGCGCTGTTGCGACCATTCTCGAATTCTGTGGGTCAATGTAGGCGCCTTGAAAATCAGAACAGGGCTTTGGGTGGTTTCATTACTATGATTATAGCCAGCTGGCTGACACGCCGCCCGGGCACCCTTTTTGGGCTTGTTTTCGTTCTTGCTGTTTCGAGAATTTGGCCTACAGCGTGCGTTGTCCTCGGGTTTTTGATCATTCTTCTCTGTTTTGTTTGTTCGTTCTTGTTTTTTTGCTGATTTTGCTTGCGTTGCGATTTTGCTCTTCTCGGGTCCAAAACTCGAGGGTTGCTGTTTTTTAGCGAGTTTTATGCTGGAAGGCATCCATGGGCCAACCATGATACATGTAACGTCCACACAGGCTCCGTCCGTTCCCACAAACGATGTATGTGGCAACCATGTTAACGTCCACACCGACTCCGTTTGTTCCTACAGAGCATCCATGTGGCAACCATGTTAACGTCCACACGGACTCCGTCCGTTCCCACAAAGTATCCCTGTGGCAACCATGTTAATGAACGTCCCCACAGACTCCGTCCGCTCCAATAAAGCATCCATGTGGCAGCCACGTTAACATCCACAAAGACTCCGTCCGCTCCCACAAAGCATCCATGTGCCAACCATGTCATGGTCATGTTTTTTGGCTAACTTCGCTAACCTCCCAAAATTGTCCATAGGAGTTAACATGCCGTAAATTACGATACTTTCGGGCTTTGGGAATGTGCCAAAACGCAGGGCGGCGTGTCAGCCACCTACCTGGTTATAGTAAAATTTTTAAGTTACCTCCAAACCCTATTCTAGTTATTAAGGCCCCTAAACCCTAAACCCTATTCTAATCATTAAGGCCCCTATCTAAATCTCTCAGGAGCTGGCGGTTAGCTGGTTCGCCAGCAGTCGATCTGCGGAATTCGTGGCGATGACCTTCGGAGACTCGAACCCCGCAAAGGCTGACGAGGGTTCCCCTTAAAGGGATCTATCAGGGTTCCTTTAAAGGGATCTACAGGGGTTCCCCTTAAAGGGATCTATACTACAAGGGTTCGGGGGCTTGCTCTTTGTGGGCTTTCGGAGTTTGAGTTTGGGGTTAGGGGGTTCTGGCTCAGCGTCAGGCATAATTCCTCCCACAAGCCTTGATACTTGTGTTAAAGGAAACTACAGGTGGGGAGTTTAGGTTATATAGGGCTTCTATAAGGCTTCTATAAGGTATATAGACCTTCTATAAGGCTCCTATAACGGTAGCTACCCACCTGTGTGTTGTCCGTTGCGGTTGCGATGCGGATCACGTGATCAAGGCTGCGCTGTTCTCCCACTGCGACCTACTGCTGCATCGCTTCGCATCAGAGAGCCCCACACTGAGCCATGCTCACGCCGAACCCCTTACAGGGCCCTGAGAAAGGAAACGCTGATGTAGAAACCTGACAGAAAGAAGCCCCTTGTTAAATCTGCCCCCCCTAAAGAGTGGACTAATACCCACCCAAACCCTAAACGCCTATTAGCCCTAAACCCTAGACCCTGGACCCCAAACCCAAAGCTACAGACTTGCACCAACCCTAAACCCTAAAACGCCAAATAACCTCTTTCACTACTGGACTCACATCTAGCCAGACTACGACCTGCAATCATCTTACCCTAAACTCTATACCCTATACCCTAAACCTAAACCCTACTTACCCTAAACTCTATACCCTATACCCTAAACCCTGCTTACCCTAAACTCTTTACCCTATACCCTAAACCCTAAACCTTGCACCTGAGAGGCTGCTGGAACCTCCACAGCCGGTGCCTGAGCTTCAGACTTGCGTCCCGAGCTTCGCGCTTGGAGCTTCGGGCTTGGGTTGAGGGTGGATGCTTTGAGGTTTAGGGTTGGTACATAAACATAAATATACATAAATAAATACATAAATGTGTGTGTGTGTGTGTGTTGTGTGTGTGTGTTGTGTGTGTGTGTGTGGTGTGTGTGTGTGT